TTGTGTAGCAGTCAGTTTATAATTTTGGCAGCACTGTGGAGCATTTTGAAAATGTATTACTATGTACTATACAAGCATCTCAAAATTGTACCCAAGTATTTCAATGTTTTGCTACTTTGTACTTCTACAGTTCAGAGGAAAATGGTATTTAATACCTTTAGTTACTTCACAGATGTGGATGAATGATGTGAAATATAATCAAGTGTTAAATCAGACTTTAGTTCCACCTGGAGTAAATTCACAAGCTACCCTGCAGTATACAAAGTCATTCAAACTAGCTGCTAGTGATGTTACGTTCGCGAACGATCTGATTCTTTTGACCGGCTCTTTGGTACGAACAAAGGGAACCGAGTCGTACTTGGTGAGAGCCGTTCTTTTTATCGTTGGTTCACTGCCTGCCATAAATCCACTCGCCTTTACGGGAACTTGCTTTCCTGAATGCACATTTGCCGTAGATCAGGGGTATTCAACGAGGTCCAGTTAGAGAAAATGTCCCCATGCAAAGGTCCAGAACATGAAAATGTCTAACTTGCTTTATGAATTAGTGTGATATATATTGAAGTAGCCTGTAGCTGTATCAACGTCTGCATGTAATCAACAACTGACTGCCAATCAAATAAAGAAATACAGTTCAAAAACAACAATAATTATTGTCATATAAACATTGAACTATACAGATATAGATGATGGCATAACGCATGCTGCTTGAGTAGTAGTTTGGCTGGCTGAGAGATGTAGCAAGTTATTAATTTTTCTGTGAAAAAAGTATATTGCTGGCAATAAAGTCAATCATTATCATGGTGATTATTTCGCAGATAATAAAAAAAACTGCTCTTTTCCTACACTCTGGTAGTTTCTACTTTTACTCAAGTACAAGACCTGAGTACTTCTACTTTTACTCAAGTACAAGATCTGAGTACTTCTACTTTTACTCAAGTACAAGATCTGAGTACTTCTACTTTTACTCAAGTACAAGACCTGAGTACTTCTACTTTTACTCAAGTACAAGATCTGTGTACTTCTACTTTTACTCAAGTACAAGACCTGAGTACTTCTACTTTTACTCAAATACAAGATCCGAGTACTTCTACTTTTACTCTAGTACAAGATCTATACTTATACCACCTCTGTTTATAGCCTATGAAAAAACTATTTGAAAACGAAGGCTAAAGCTAACGTTAGCAGATAGTGACATTGTATGCTAGTTAGCTAGCTCAACGATTCCTTAAATAATATTGCGACAGAAAAACTTTTCAGTTCACATCACGCTCTGCTGCTCCAACAGGGAGCTCTGCTCTGAACACCTGAACGGCCCGTTCTAACAGCTGTTCACCAGCGGTCCAGTCTGTGCCACAGTGACTCCGGACCGCACAGTTAATATTAACGAACGCACCGTAGGTAATGTAGCTGCTGAAGCTAGACCCTCATCGCGGAGCAGCAGAGTTCAGCCGACAAACAGGAAGACTCAAGCACACAGTCGCGCTTCATTATAATATATACAAAAATAACACCATGCACATCATGATGGCACATAACAGCTCGCGGCCGCAGATTACTCCGGGTCCCAGACCCCCCCCCATACCCCAAAAATATTTTTATTGCAGATCTACATGAATCACACAAACGACCTATTTTGGATTGAAAACGGCGAATTTCACCGAAAGGTGACAAGTTTGCATCCCTGAATATTAACGAACGCACCCGTAGGTAATGTAGCTAATGAAGCTAGACCATCACCGCGGAGCAGCAGAGCCTTATTATACATCCATGAGCAGAGCTGACAGGCAGGAAGACTCGAGCACACAGCTCGCGCTGCATTAATATATAGAAAAAAGAACACCATGCGTGTCATGATGGCACATAACAGCTCGCGGCCGCAGATTACTCCGGTTCCCAGACCCCCCCATACCCCAAAAATATTTGTATTGCAGATCTACATGAATCACACAAATTAGACCCTCCAGAAAAACGCGATTATGCGAACGCATAATTTACCGCATAATCAGCAAAATGGCGCAGATTTTTAAAAGGGCGCATATTTATTAAAAGGTCGCATAATCCCCGCATTTTTCCACACAAAGTTGAGGGAAAAAAAAGTTAACGTGAAGTAGTGATGTCATCAGCTCGCGCAGGTAAACAACACCGTAGAGTGAATGTGTGGAACTCACACGAGAGAGAAAACAACAAGATCAGCGCCATATAGATTATTATATACTATTATACTATTATTATTATATACTATTATACTATTATACGGCTCTGACCAAGATGAAAAAATCGAATCCATCTCATTTGCCTACGAACATTTCTGCTAAAGACCGGGCAAAGCAGTACGCCGATGTCTTGAACGAAAGTGGGGGGAAACTATTCTGCACCCCGTGCAACTGTGTGTTGGAGCATAAGAGAAAATCGACGGTGACGACCCACTTTGATTCATTCAAACATTCTAAAATGCTTTCTGCTGCTGCGGACAAGAAAGTCAAACAACTCGCGTTCATCGAGGCATCAACCTCCAAAACCCTTTCGAGGGCTACAAAAACGAGGTGAGTAGCCTACAAGATTGAAGCTGGTCAGATAACGAACGAGTAAATGAAAACAGAATGAGGCGGAGAAGAGTGTGTGTGTGTGTGTGTGTGTGTGTGTGTGTGTGTGAGAGAGTGATTAAAATAGCCCATATATAAATACATAAATAACACTTTGTGATGTAGCTTGCTTCTAGTATGCTTGTTTATCATAGGAACTCTTTAAAAGGGCTCACTTTCATTCAGTAGTAGCCTAGTAACAGGGTGTGGGAGAAGAATCACCTTTTTTCCGCCTCCCGCATATTTCGCAACTTTTCGCATATTTCCGCATATTTCGCAACTTCACCGCATAAAATCACATGAAAACCCCGCATGTTTAATCGCATAATCAAGGATTTTAGCCCGCATAATCAAGGATTTTAGCCCGCATAATCAAGGATTTTAGCCCGCGTTTTTCTGGAGGGTCTAACAAATGACCTACTTTGGATTCAAAACAGCGAATTTCGCCGAACGGTGACAAGTTTGCATCCCTGTGTATATATATATTGTAGCGTCTCGCTATAGAAACACAGGGAGGCTTGGTTTGTCCTTTATCCGGGAGTTTATTATCAAGATCACAGGTTACTGTTGGCCGTAACCACGCCAAAACAATCCACTAACTCTGTTAAGCCCTCACTCTCTGGCCCAATCTCAAACCACGCCCTACACCCTACCCCTACACACTACCCCTCAGTGACGGACCGAACTCTGTGGAGTGACACTCGCAGCTCAACGAGGCTCCCTCCTGTCAGATGGAGGGAGTAAATACAGCGGCAAGCTTTAGGACAAACTCCCCTCTCTCCGGCAGAAACAGGAAATGCCGTAACTGTATGTAACAACGGTTTCAAATCAGCAAAAAATAAAAATTAATAACTCAAATAAAACTCCAAACATCTTTAATACACAGGTATGATCCTAAGTAAAAACAATGTGAGGTTATCATGAGGTTGTTAACATCGCAATTTATCAGTGGATGTTTGCTGGAACTGTTTGTAAACAGCTTGTTTCCTGACGGACACACACAGCGTTGAGACCTGTCAGGTTGACACCGGTCTCCAGTCAGCACCGATGCAGACTCGCTGTTTGATGGCTTGATAGCCCACTCCCCCTCCACACTGCTCCACACTCGTTGGTTTGGAACAGCACTTAATGTGGCGGACCCTCCGCGCGAACGCGCAAACGGAGGGGTAGGGTTAGGGTGTAGGGGCGGTTTGGGATTGGGCCTAAGTCACATTCCCCGTCCCTCCCTCCAGGAATCTCCCTCCTCCACAGCCAACCAACCAGACAACACTCTCCCACCCATCCCGCAACCACAGGTCACAAGAACTGTCCATCAAAACAGTGGCACGTTCACTGACACTCTGTAAAATGCAAACAAACTCTGAACAACAAAACGCATCAAACATCAACATTATAACCAGTCCGTTACAATATATAGCATATCATTGATGCAGTCTTTCTGAACACTTTTAAAATAAAATACCGCAAATGAAGAATATTTGTAATGTTCTGCACAGATAGTGCCTTAACTTGAATTTGAAAACACGTGGCAACCTTATTAATACAGCAGTTGAAAAGATTTGTGGAAGGTTACATTCTTCATGGGCTTCAATGGCTCTCTAGATAAAGGGCGTTTTATGGTTGCTTGTATATTATCCTCAGATAGTGGTTTGTTTAAATAACTAGTGACATTTTAATAAATATTGCAAAAAAGGCATATATATATATAACCTGGCCGGCTTAACCAGTATTTCTTCAAGCACCAAAAGATTCAGAGGTTATAATGTAAGTACACAGTAAAAGTACTTCATCGTACTTGTGGGGGTAGTTTCACTAGTATTGAGTCCAACAGGATCAATCTCACGAAGAACTAATGGCAACAAAAAATAATTCCCTCATCAAACTTAGCAAAAGTGGCTTGATTTTGTTCTCAGGAGGGGACTTTGACAGAGTATTTCTCAAAAAATACACAGTAAAAGTACTTCAATGTATTGTTAGTAGCAGTCAAACTAGTACCTAGAGATTCAGCAGATTGTTTGCACTGAAGACGTGGCTTTCAACTGCCTGTACTGACCATTCTGTCAATTTTATTGACAATTTTAACTTTTTCTGGGACCGCAGACATCTTTTTAAGGCAGATGGAGTTTGCCTGAACAAGTCAGGAGTGAAATTGTTTATCTCTAACATATTCAACTGCCTGCGCCATCAATCTGTTCCCTCTGCCAAGGACAAGCGAGAAGAGGAATCAAAACAGGAGAAAGACACAACACATCGCGCAGAAAACCTTGAAGAAGTATCACTGCACCCGCCTGAGGAATGTCTTAATTATGAGAGACCTATGAGACAAATGGAGGAGTCTCCACCACCCTTCACCCCCCCTACCAACACCTTTGAGGATACTCTTCCTTCATCCCCCAGCGCTCTCTTCTCTCCGCTCACCCTTTCACACTCGCCCCCCCTCCTGGAGTTCGATGACCACACGAAAGAGATACACAGGGTTGCCACCAATTCCTTCCTAGAGTTCACTGAAAATATGAAGGCGATACAAAGGGTTAGCAGCATGTCCTTGACCCCGTCCCTCAACGACGCCCACCAGAATCACCGAAGCAGAGACGCGCACCATGTCCCCCGTCTTCATCACCATGCCTACCACAATCATCCGGACCAAAACGTCCTCCCCCCTTCAAGACAGCATCTGCGGTCTCCGAAGCCTGATAAGGATGTGTGTGTACAAAACGCAGCAAACTCTAACTGATATGCTGGGTCCAGGCTAAGGGCGTATGGCACTCAACTCTTTCCAGGACATGCCGGGGCCCTGCCTGCCAGTAGCTTTACCGATATCGGTGTTGATGGGTAATAGATTGAGAGCGGAGAATCAGTTTAGGAACAGGAAGCGCTCAAACGTTTGGGTCAGTTTATCAAATTTAGCAGTGACTCCATGTCAGCCACAGCTTGTCACAAAAAATCTGACTGATAGTGTATTTAACGAACTTAAACTAGCTTTATTAAATGTCAGATCTTTGACTGCAGGTGTGGATCTCTCTCTCTCTCTCGTCCGGTTATACTTCACTCGCGTTTATGTCCAAATCCATCAGATCTAGCTAGTACTAGCTAATGATATGGCTGCTGCCCCTCCCTACACGCAGATCACGCAGACTCAAACCTCATCTTATGCCCAAATTCCAGCTGAGAGGGTCTTCTCTACAGCTGGCCTGATTGTGAATCGCCTCCGCACCCGGCCTCTCCCCTGAGCATGTAGACATGCTCATATTCTTAAACAAGAATGAGTATTGAATAGCTGCATTCTGTGCATAGGCCCTGTTATAGGTTGTTGATGTCTGTTGTAATAGGGTTACGTTACCCTAACCCGTTATGTTGTTCGTGTATGATCCCTCTTTAATTTAAAAACCAAGTTATGTTTTAAGCATGAAAGCTGTAGGCCTATAGCTGTCAACTGTTCAAACTGTGATCACCACATGTATTTTTCGAAATAATTCTTTTTTTTCCCCCACCTTTTTTTTCTTTTCTTTATAGGATATGTACATTTCGGTTAATCGGTTAACCGTTTTTTTGGGGGTCGAATATTCGAATATACATTTGCTTTCAAATTCCCATCCCTACTTCACATAGTAAACAAGTCTCTTCACTCCACAGGCCCTGAAAACTGCAGTCATGAAACCGCACTTAAAAAATAATAATCTAGATGCTTCAGTAATGAACAATTACAGGCCCATATCAAACCTGCCATTTCTAGGTAAAATCATTGAAAAAGGTGTTTTTCAACAGTTGAGTAATTTCTCGCATTTAAATAACTGTTTCGATGTGTTCCAGTCAGGCTTTCGACCAAACCACAGCACGGAGACTGCTCTTGTAAAGGTCTTCAATGACATCCACTTAAACACAGACAGTGGCAGAACTTCAGTGTTAGTATTATTAGATCTCAGTGCTGCGTTTGACACTGTTGACCACAACATATTACTAGACCGACTGGAAAACTGGGTGGGACTTTCGGCAACAGTTCTAAATTGGTTAGAATCCTACTTAAAAGGACAGAAACAACTTTGTTTCTATAGGTAAATACACATCTGAGTTGACAAATATGACATGTGGGGTACCTCAAGGCTCCATCTTGGGGCCTCTTCTCTTTAACATCGACATGCTACCACTGGCTCAGATAATGAAAAACAACAAAATAAGTTACCATAGATGCGGATGACGCACACATTTACATAACCATTTCACCAGGAGACTATGCTCCAACACAAATACTGAGTAAGTGCATTGAACAAATCAATGACTGGATGTGTCAGAACTTTCTCCAATTAAACAAAGATAAAACTGAGGTAATGATTTTTGGAGCCAAGGCAGAACGTATAAAAGTTAGCGCTGAGCTTCAGTCTGCAATGTTCAAAACAACAGATAAAGCCAGAAATCTAGGTGTAGTCATGGACTCTGACCTGAGTTTCAACATTCATATTAAAACAGTTACTAAATCAGCATACTATCACCTAAAGAATATACCTAGGATTAAAAGACTAATGTCACAGCAGGATTTGGAAAAACTCGTCCATGCTTTTATCTTCAGTAGACTCGACTACTGTAATGGTGTCTTTACAGGTCTCACAAAAACATCTATTAGAAAGCTGCAGCTGATTCAGAACGCTGCTGCTCGAGTCCTCACTAACACTAAGAAAGTGGAACACATCACTCCTGTTCTGAAGTCTTTACACTGGCTTCCTGTGTGTCAAAGAATTGATTTCAAAATATTGCTGCTGGTTTATAAAGCTTTGAATGGTTTAGGCCCAAAATACATTTCTGACCTACTGCTAAATTATGAACCATCCAGAACTCTCAGGTCTTCAGGGACTGGTCAGCTTTCTGTCCCCAGAGTCAGAACTAAACATGGAGAAGCAGCATTCAGTTATTATGCTCCAAATATCTGGGACAAACTACCAGAAACCTGCAGGTCCGCTGCAACTACTTTTAAATCCAGACTGAAGACTTTTCTTTTTGCCGCTGCTTTTAATTGAACTATTCATATCTTAAACTGCACTGTAACTTTTATCCATGTATTTTTTCTTTTAATGTTTATTTTATTATCTTTGCTTTTTAATGACTGTTTTTAAATGCCATTTTCTTAATGTCTTTCATTTTTGTAAAGCACTTTGAATTGCCTTGTGTTGAAAGGTGCTATATAAATAAACTTGCCTTGCCGAGTCCAACAGTGTCAGTTTTATTAAGAACTTGTGGTAAAAAATATAGCATATGAAAAAACAAACGCGAGAGAGACGGCTGAGTTGACCGCAGTGCAGAATCGCTGTATAGTTTAAATCTCCTAACAATGTTGTCAATTTTAGACACAGGCTTATTATATTTACAGCCCTTAATAACATTCATTTTCTGGGCTCAATGTGTGTCTGGGCCGTTTTCGTTGTGATCGCTTAATTCACCTTGTTTCCCCTTGTTTATAATATTATCACCATTCCAAGCAAACGAGTGCTTTTGTTTTGAAATCACTTCCGCGAGTTTCGCGCCCCTCGCTCCAATGACCATTAGACCATTTAGAAAGGTAAAAAGCAAAACCGCCTCGCAGACGCTCTTCCGTTTACTTTTTTAATAAAGAAAAACAAATGGTCCGAAGATACACGGATTCATCTCCCTCCATCACGTTGATTTGAATCCGAAGTTCTGAACATGAGCCCGCCCCGCTTGACCTTCTGAGCCAATCACAGCGCGATAATGACCTGCCTTCCGTTTCAACTATACTCCTTCCGTTTCCACTATACTTTCTCTCACACATACATGCATTCTTCTCTTGCATACATATATTGTCTTCAGACATGCATATATTATTTATAATATTAAATGTAAACATTGAGCATGAGAGCAAAATGTATAAATATGAGCGTTAAAATATATGAATATGAGAGCAAAATGTATATATGTGTGAGAGAAAAATGTATAAATATGTGAGTGACAATATATGAATGTGTGCATTGAAATATGATAATATGAGAGCAAAATGTATGAATGTGTGAGTGTAAATATATATGTGTGTGAGAATGAAAATGTATGTATGTAAAAGGAGAATGTATGTGTGTAAGAGTGAAAATATATAGGAGAATGTGTGTGAGAGGACCAGTATGAATTACGGCCTGTACGGCCCCTCATATTAAGGAGTACAAAGTTACACAAAATTAAGTTTTTGTGTAGATTAAGTACCTCAAAATTGTACTTAAGTACAGTACTTGAGTCAATGTACTTAGTTACTTTACATCACTGCACTACACTGTCCGTAAAATAATAATAAACATCTCTTAATGTCAACAAAAGCGTGAACAATTTTTCAGCTGTATGTTTTTATTATTGCATCGTTGTTGCTAGCAATGGTGCTGCTAGCAATGGTGGGAGAATGATTCAGATCTTGTACTTGAATAAAAGTAGAAGTACCAGTCTGTCACAGGCAGTGCTTGAATTGGAATAAAAAAGGTGCCAGTACTCAAAACAGCAACTGTTTCAAGTCAATTTGATTTATACAGCCCAAAAACAAGAATTTGGCTCAAAGGTCTTAACAATCTGTACAACATAGATACGACTCCCTCTATCCCAGCGTTTCTCAAAGTGTGGGGGCGCAGAGATGTGATAGGTGGGTCGCGAATGGACGTGATGAACGGGAGATTATTATTTTTTTAAATACATTTTTTGGACCTCAGGCTGGAATCGAACCTAGGTCCTCGCGGGCGGTAGTGGACTGTTACAGCCGGAGACTCGCAACGGCGGTGGACTTTCACAGCGCCACTGCGTCGGACCCGCCGGAGCCTCGCAACGGCGGGTGTTTGCGGCGGCGGATGCAGTACCGGCGCAGCGGCGCTGTGAAAGTCCACGGCAGCAGCCCACCAACGGCAGCGGCCCACCGGGAAAATTCCAGAATCTCCCGATGGCCAATCCGAGCCTGCTCACACAAACACATCTGAAACCAAAATCATTTACAGACATATGTAAAAATGTCTAATACACACATGTGAAATGCTCACACACACACACACACACACACACACACACACACACACACACACACACACACACACACACACACACACACACACACACCACACACACACACACACACACACACACACACACACACACACACACACACACACACACACACACACACACACACACACACACACACACACACACACACACACACACACACACACACACACACACACACACACACACACACACACACACACACACACACACACACACACACACACACACACACACACACACACACACACACACACACACACACACACACACACACACACACACACACACACACACACACACACACCAGCGTTGCAGTCGGGAAGAAAAGCAATGTGGAGCGGCACCTCACCACTTCATAAGGAGTTTAACCGTGACACTTTGAAATCCCGTTTGTGTCCCCCCACTTTACAAATATGTTTATTATTATTCTTTAACGCAAGCCGTCATCGCCACGGAGGAGCACACAGCCTCTGTGAGCGAGCGAGACAGAGAGAGAGAGAGAGAAAGAGCTAGAGAGCACACCTTTATCTATTTAATATAGCCTAGTTGTAAAAACTAAAGTAAGAAATCATTCCAATGTGTACTATAGGACAGTAAAAAAATATATATTCCCGGGGGTGCATGCCCTCGGACCCCCCTAGAGCGTGTCTGCGAGGTAAGCATATAATAATGTTAAAATGTGCTAAATATATACACTGCAAAAAAAGAAAAAAAGAGGAGTAAAAGTAGCTCACGACTTGTTTTATTTTTTTAAAGTAGCTCTCATCCTAAAAAAGGTTGGAGACCCCTGTTATAGAATGATACATTTGACAATTTTAAGCTTGGCCTACCATTTTATTGGAGCGATGAGGAACAGGTGGGGCTTGAAAAGGCCCACCTGTTCAAAGTGGGGAATGACAGAAGAAGTTTGAGAACCACTGCTCTATCCTTATCCTCATATCTTTGATTCAGTAATTAAAAATAAACACAAAAAAACGTTCACAGACAAGGACATTTTTTTTTAAAACAGAATATTTACTGTAATGTTCAGAAATTGACGACGCTGAAGTTGGCTTCCGATTCAGAGCTTCCGATTCGGCAGTTAAGGGGAAAGTTAAGGGACATTTAATTTACAGCGCTGAGTGAACAATCCTCCGTGTTTGTACCTCTTAAATCGCTGCATAGCCGATTTATTTGGACTGGATTATCCCAGAGTCTAAAGATTCTTTATAACACAGTTTTAGATTTGTGAAACCTTTATTCTATTTGTGAAAATAGGCCGTGGCCACCCCCAGCTGAATCCTGGCTACCCTATTGGCCACCCCAAACACCCTCACCATGGGGGCCCAAACAATTTTAGAACATTAAGAAAAAAATGTTTAAGTAACCTTTCATCATTCATCAATAATTAACATTAATATAACGTTATATTGATAATGTACTCACTAAACTTACAATTAATTTAACTTATTTTCTTCCAAAAGTTAATTATCCAAAGCCTCTGTACACCCCCTTCTATTTACATGTAATGTTTGGACATATTTAAGTTATATTTATTTGGAATTTATGCATTCATGTTGAGAATGTTCCATTCAAAAATGTTATTATTAAAAAGGCATTTACACCATAAAAGATGACTATTGAGATCTATTGTCAGGAATGTTAGTCTTATATCAAATAGTGAATTCTACTGCAGCAGAATAGGGTGCCACCACCAAAATCACACTGGTGTTTGCTGTTTCCCTCTACTTTGTGCTCACAAAAGCATGTTACTCTGTGCCCAGCAGGTGAAAAACTAAAGAGGGGCTTCCAAATCCGGCAGAGAAGGTGTTGGTGCTGCCGGATTTGGAACCCCCCCTATATCTTTGTCCAGGATAGTCATAGACTCACCAAAATCACACTGGTGTTGGCTGTTCCCCTCTAGTAGTCCGGATATGGAAGCCCCTCTTTAGTTTTGCACCTGCTGGGCCCAGAGTAAAATACTTTGGTGAGCATAAACTAGAGGGGAACAGGCAACACCGGTGTGATTTTGGTGAGTCTATGACCATCCTGGACAAAATGATAGGGGGGGTTCCAAATCTGGCAGGAGAAATACCTGCTCTGCTGAACATGTTATGTAGAGAACAGTGCAGATCTTCCCTATTGACACCAGGATTAACCTAGTCTAAAATAAGGAACATTAATAGTGTGATATAGGCACAGATATAAGATCAATAATACACTTTATTTTAGGGCACCTTTCAAAGCATTCAATGTCACCTTAAAATACAATAAAAAATAAAATAGGAGTGGCATTACAATACAAACATGTGTTGAGTAGGAAACCACAGAGGAAAATTACATTCAAAGGAGCAATTAAAGCGAGTGAAGCCAGTTTGAACACATTATCTTTTAGGATTGATTGAAAATAACACAGTGTCTGACATGTTATATCATTACTGTTATATCATTGCTTACTATTCGTGGTTATCAGACACTTAAACAACAGAGAAGGTTTTAAGAAATAGGACTATACTGACAAATGACATATTATCCTGTCATTGTCTGTTCTGTAGGAAGGAGGAACATAACAGAGTGGGACTACACTCAAAAACGGAAGTTTGTTCCAATACGAAGATTGTGACAGATCTGAAAAGTGTCCTTAAAACGAGCCTCCTCGCAATTGTATGCACATTATTTATTCAGCCGTTTGCTGTTTAATCTGATGGGAAATATATCATTCAAAAGAGAGAAAGTAAATAGTATCTTTCGTTTTTCCGCTTAGAAAACTAGGCGAACGCTCAATACAGGCGATGACGTCACCTTTGCACGTCCCCGCGAACAGGGCTTCAATCTATGGCAAGGCTTCAACCCAGGGGCGGACTGGCCATCGGGACGTATCCCGATGGGCCGGTACTGAAGTGGGCCGCTCGGATAAGTCACTAGCACCCCCGTCGACACTTTCCTCGCGGTATTTACTTGCGGCACCGAGGTGGGCCGCTCGGATAACTCACCCCCCCCGTTGATAATTTACCGAGGTGGGCCGGCGGTACCGAAGTCGGCCGGTCGAGAGTCCCGGGCTGATTTGTAGTCCCAGTCCGCCCCTGCTTCAACCTACGGCATAACACCTGTTCAGCGTACTGGTGAGTACCGGCCCAATTCAAGCACTGGTCACAGGTAAAAGTCCTATATTCAAAATCTGGCTGCTAGCTAGGTCCAAGTTACTTTGTTAGCTGAATTTTATATCGAAGATTTTTTTTATCGGGACTATTATTGATATCTACAGTTTCTAAAATATATTCACACGGGGTTAAGTTATGTTAAGAGTGGTTACATTGGTAGTTTAATATTCACTATTGTATAAAACAGAAAGTAAAACCGAAAGCATGGAGGCAGCTAGAGGACCCATTATACAAAACGTACGTTGTAGGCTTTTATTTTGAAAAACCTAAACAAGGTTAGCTAACCTGCGACAACACTTTGGATGTACTTTAATCTGTTTCTTTAGCTTCACACCTGACTAGTTAATTTTTCCCTAGAAGCGACTTTGATAACAGCGACATTACACTTGTTTATTTCGACATTATTCAGCGAGAAAGTGTTTTTAAAGCGATAAAAAGCGGCAACCACTCACCATTTCTGCCATGTTTCTTTTTTTCCGCGCGCTGTTGTTGCCTTTAGGTACCGTGGGATATTACTAAGTCAATAGCGGATTTTCCGCGTTGCGTTCAGGGACAATGGAAAATATCTGTTATTAATATGTATTAATGATATTTGATTTAGCAGTGGTGGAAAGTAATGCTGTACATTTACTCAAATACTGTGCTTCAGTTTTTTCATCGTTTACGTTATAAAAGAAAAAGCTGCATATATTTACATTACATGGTTTATTTTTACATGAAAAATAACTTCAAACGTCAAACATTTTTGTCACATGAATCATCTGTCTAATGACAAATATATTCAGCTGTGATGCCCCAGTGGGGGACATCATTGAGTGTCTCTGCCTCTCCCCTGCAGGTAACAATTAATCAAACTCAGCTCTCCTCACTCCTGGCATCCGTGACAGACAGACTTTGGTTTTGTTGGTTTACCCTTTTGCACTTCACAACATTGACACCGACACTCTTCACTCATGCTCATCATACACTGCTACTGACTACTGATTATCACATCCTATCTGTATATTTAAATTGCTTAATAAAATAGTGTTTAAACTTAAATCATGGTGTTGTCTCCGTTTTTGTCGTGACAGCTGGTTTTGTATAATGAGTTAAAAAAGGTTTAGACATTAATAAACTATTCCTACATTTAGTGTGTAGAAATCTAAATGTGTAAAGTAACTGAAGCTGCCAGAGAAATGTAGTGGACTAGAAGTATTAGAATATTAAAAATAGAACATGGACAATAAGACACAAAGCAGTGACGCATGAAAACATCTTTGTTTCTGTTTCACACAACAATTATCAACACTTTACAGTTATAAAATAAACAGTTTGGGCTCTCAAAGGGAGATCAACCACCGCAGGTTCATGAGTAAAACGTTCCTTTACTGGCCACTAGATGCTGCTCCTGGCTGGGGAAAATGTCCAAATAAAATACAACTTCTGTGTCCAAATGAATTATGCATACAGTAATATACATTTCATTTGGTTACTGCAATAATTACAAAATACATAAATACAACGCAGTTTTACACAAGCAATTGAAGGAGGTCAGCTTTAATGGAAGCGGGTGTCTGATGTTTTTTTCCCCTCCATCTTCTTTTATTTGTATTCTGCATTAGAATACCTGCAATACATAATTTTATTTGAATGTATAACTCCTACTATATATCTTACTCCACATTTGTTTTACTGTTTCAATGTTGCATTCCTCACTGTTTTAGTTTATTAGTGTCTTGTCTGTTCAAAAACAAAAAAAAGTTTTTCACATTTTTCTCTCAGAGTTGAAACTACTATTTAATGAACTGATCTACAAACACATCATTCTCAACTATTTTTGAGTAGCTCCTTCAGCGCTTTTGTGCAATGCATTGTGTGAAAATAGTGTGTCAACAGCACACTTAAGTCAGTATTGACAGTCTTTAATACTTTATTTGTCACTTTTCCCCTGTGAACACACGACTACAGTATGCAGTATAAATTTAGGACACAGTTACATTTTTTTCCCAATGAGACGTTCAGGTTCACTCCTCATGGTCTTGGTGCTGATATTGACAGTCTCATTAAAAAGATGACAAGTATTAAAATGTCTGTTCAGGTGTTTTATGACCTGGTGAATCTGCTCCAAAAGCCTATTTCGTTTTTTGACAAATACTTCCGAGCATCTTTTCCTACAAAAATAGAAATCATCTGTGATTTCCCGTCGCTGGTCACTTCTTCTTGTTCTCTTTGCAGGCGACCACATATCTCTGAGCCACGTTGAGCGGGGGGGGAGTAGCCGTCTGCGTACGACGTGTCCTCGAACAGCACCGAGTAGTCGTCTTGAGGCTGCAAACAAACACACAGAGGTCAGTGTGGGGGCCCGACAGCCGGGGGACAGTCTGCTCGCTGGGTGAGGAGCTTTTCACTCAATGAGTCTTTTTAGTGAGAAGAAGCTTCATGTATGAAACAAAAAGACCCATAATTCAGAGGTTTATATTCTGGATGTGACTAATGAGAGTGGACTCTGCAGGATTAGTACCTGGAGCTTTCTGTCGTGAGGACAGTAGTAGTAGTTTTGCATCTTTTTGTACTAGTTTGTGTATTTGAAAAAGTTGTATGTCTCTTTGTAGTCGTTATGTGTTTCTTTGTGGTCATATTGTCTGGCAGTAGATCAGTCAGTGGGGGCTTGGACTGTGAGCCGTAGGGTCGCCGGTTCAAGTCCCTGACCAGACCTAAATATGGAGTGTGGACTGCTACTTGGAGAGGTCCCAGTTCACCTCCTGGGCCCTGCCGTGGTGCCCTTGAGCAAGGCACTGGACACCCTCCCACCCCCATTGCTCCCCGGGTGCTGTACATTAGCTGCTCCTAGTACTAGACTCCTGGTACTAGGATGGGTTAAAAGCAGAGAACAAATGTCACTGTGTGTGCTGTGTGCTCTGCATGTGTGACCATTAAAGAGGGTTTCATCCCTCCCATTCTATCTATATTGTAGATTCTATCTATATCTGTAAACTAGTCTCTTTGTAGTCGTTATGTGTTTCTTTCTAATTGTTTTGTGTCTAAAGGTGTCTTTGTGGTCATTTTGAATGTCTTTGTGGTCATTTTTAGTCTCTTGCAGCTGCTCTTTGTCTCTGTCGTTTTTGGTTCATTTTGTGTCCTTTTGAAGTTCAGTAATCCTTCCATGTTCCCAGTAAAACATTTATTTAACATGAATACTGGGTTTCCATAGTCATGCTGACAATTTTGGCAAATATTTCTCTATATTAATGACCTAACTTTGGCTTCATATGTTAACCCTTTGCGAATAATACCACAGCTCTGAGTCTTACCCTGTGTGGGGGGGTGTGAATGAGGGCCCTGTAGAAGCAGGTGGTCTGGGGGTAGAGGGCCAGCACCAGCTGGTCCTTACTGAACAGAGCCTCTGGGTCCGTCTCCGGGTTGGCCTTCCACTGAGGCAGAGGGATGATCCTCCGTCTGCTCAGAGTGTGTCTCCTGATCACACACACACACACACACATTTCAGAAACATCAAGTCTGTTTGGGAAACCAGAAACTGGACCTAGATAATACAGATTCTCCCAAAATCTTTTTGATTAATTACTAATGGATACACATACGGTGCGACAATAGATTTACTTTTGGACTCTCAACAAAAATGACAAATATTTATCAAGCTGCGTCTTCATTATTATTATGAACCAACTAGGCCTCAGATAATCAGCTGTTTTCTAGAATTGGTTGATTGTTTCAATAGTTGTTATTTCTAAGTAAAAGCAGTGTCTTGCCCCAGCTTCTCTAATGAAAGGATTTGCTCCTTGCTCCCTTTTATGTGGAGGTCAAATAACAAAAATGTTAGGTTGTTGAAAAAAGCAAGTCATTTGACAATTTGTACAAAAACATTTTAGCATCCGTCTAGAATAAAATATTTGAGAAAGGAGAGGAGCAGAATATTTATTTGACTTTCTTTACCTGGTAATGTTGACTTTTAACCAACATTTCAGAGGAAGAACAACATGGTAATGTAATGATACAAGGCCTGTCTTTAAAAAGATATATACAAAAATAAGCCTTAACATGAATGAGATGACAAAGACTCAAAAAGCAAACATGAAAAAAAAGAGATGTAAGGAAAAAGATTGAAGATGGTTTGAATTGAGGATTCAAATATAAAGAGAAGTAGAAACGGATAAAGGTAGGAGTCTGTAAAGTTATAATAATGACGTATTAGAGATGGTAAATGTAAACTCACTCTTTGCCTTCTTCATCGATGTCGTCCACTTCATACCTGCAGAGACATGTTTGAGATGAATTCAACATCATCCTTTTATCCCCTACATATATCAGTAAGTAACTCCACAAGTAACAAAATATACGATTACTAATATAATCCATTGTTACAGATGAAACTGCTATAATAAGCAGTTAAAACCTTAACCAATGTCCACAATTAAACTAAAGCTGCAACAATAACTGCTTTAAAATCGATTAAGGTCATTCTCATAAAAGAAATGCCAGAAATGCTCTTTTAATCCTCTCAAATATAGTCTTTTGCTTTTTCAGTTTGACATCATATTAAAGTAAATGTGTGTGTTTTGGACTGATTGACAACATAAGATATTTAAACAAATCAGAGACAAATCATCTTGGAATATAAGAAAATGGGATGGATATTTTTCACAAGTTCCTGACATTGTATCGACAAAACCATCTATAAAGAAAATCAGGGGAACATATTCCATAATGAATATAACTGTCAGTTGCAGCCCTACAATATATTACTACTTACAAATAATGTAATAGTAAAACACTGAAAGAAGCCAATCTGCATGATGAGTACATTTGAATGTCTAATAATGTGATGGTACGTAATGAGCATTTGATGAGTTTCTCACTTGTTGGTGGAGTGGTTGTAGCTGACCACCTCGGCCAGGATCCACTGCTCGTCTCCGTCCACGGCCTTCACCCTCGCCGCCACCTTGTCGCCCTGTTTGGCCACGTAATCGCTGCTGGCAGGGGTCGCCCCGCACAGAGGGGGCGGGCTGACACAGAGAGCAATAATGAGGTTAGTGCACAACTTATTCAGAATGCCGTGAGTGAGTGTGTGTGCAGAGCAGCATCTCTAGACAGTGGCATTTAGATATCTACCATCGTCATTTAATGTCCCTTTGTAGTCCTTTTGTCAACTGTGATAGTTATGTGTCTTTTTAAAGTCAATTTATATCTCTTTGAAGTAATTTTAGGTCTCTGTGAAATCGTTTTGTGTCACTCATGTCTCTTTTTGATAGTGGTGTGTCTCTTTGAAGTATTTTTATATCTTTTTTTCAGTTGTTTTATGTCTCTTTGAGGTAGTTTAGTGTCTCTTTGTGCCACATAGTCTCTGCTATCCACAGAGAGCAACAATGAGAAGAGTTTTATCCACAACTTCTTTGAGCAAGTAGTTAGTGTGTGTGCAGAGCAGCATCTCTATAAAGTGGCGTGAACATATCTTCCATCTGTGAGAAAAGCCTTACTGTGCAGTGTCTTTTAGCCTGGACAAATATTGAACATTTGGTCACCAGAATGAAGCCTATTTGATAATGATCCGGTAGCTTTGTAAAGAAAACAGGAAATCAGCATGTAATCTCCTCCTACCTCTCCCCCGGCTTGCCGATCCACAGTGGGAGCGTCATGGCAGACTGCTGGAGGAGCGTCATCAGGACGCCGCGCCGCATCGTCTTCCTGGGAGGGTCGCTGTCGCTGTACACCCCCGCCATCTTAGCAGCTGCGTGCAAACATTTCAACTCCATTAGTGGCTTTACATGTAAATCATAAACTCTCTTTAAAACATTACCAACTTAAACCTAAATTAGGACATCACAACTTAGTTATATTTTTGTTTCCAAGCTTTAGTTATATTTTATTACTGTATATCTTTGTTACATACCTATTCTCCTCTCCTCCAACAACGACTTGATCTCTGCAATTTTATCGAGAGCATGGCGCAGAATGCTGTGAGGAAATAAAAAAGATGAAGTTAAAACAAAATATGGTTTCTAGCATCCATTAAAAGCTACAATATTCATCACAGACCAAATGTAGTGCTACACAGAAGAAACAACATACAAGTGACAGTCTGGTTTGAAGATTTTTGATGGTCCTTGAACACATTGTGCGTGGGAAAATGTAACCAAGGATAGGTTGCAAAACAAGATATATATTTTTTTGTTGTTGCCATGAATAAACAGTCTGCATTAAAGTGTGGTAGGTAATTTTGGAGAAACCGGCTCGAGTGCGCTAGAATTTGAAAATACACAGCCGGAACAAATCTGCCACTTCCTTACAGAGCCCCTCCTCCAACACACACGAACGCGCACATGACCAATGAGGGCACGAGATAAGTTTGTGCACAGATGGAAGGCTGACAGGCAGGTAGGCCATCCAGTTATTTTAGCCGGGCCGGCTAAAATGATTGGTCGTACTTTTACAGTACTACGGCTTCCACAGATGACTTTTTATGTTTTTTTTGTCAAAGCACTTAAGATATTCATTGCTATCGGGATGTTAAGAGCATTCCATGGAATATAACAAAAAGTGTATCTCGAGCCGGTTTCTCAAACTTACCTACCCCACCTTCAATTAGATCCTTTGTAGAATACTAAGAAATTATATTTTATATGTATTTTCTTTGTTTGCGATTTATGGCTTCAACTATGTTATAATGAACGTTAATAAACCGCATGGTGTCAGGTGTCCGCTCACCTGCACTCTGCCTCAGCATCTGCTTTGGCTGTGGTGTACAGTCCTCTGAGCTTGGTGCGGTAATATGGAGAAGCTGCAGGAGACAAGTCAATAATGTTGGTTTGAATCAGCAACTAACCAACCAGTTGAAAAAAAAATGAAAATGAAATAAATGTCTCGGCGTTGTGGAAGTGAAGTTTGTGATGATGTGGCGACTGACTTTTGTTTTCCGTCTGCATCCTCTCATGTGTTTTCTGAATGTTGAGCAGATTATGTTCACTGCGTGACCTCTCCTCCTGAAGACATTATTATTTAGATTTGGTTAACTTTAAGCATGATTACTAACATTTCATACCTTAATCAGCGTTTATTAACTATTAATCAATGTCACTGACTTACCTGGGTCTGTTTGATGAGCTGATGGAGCTCTGTGAGCAGCTCGGCAATCTTAGTATCCGCTGACATTTTGCTACCTTCAGGGTTTTACAGATAAGAGTCTTGTTAGCACAGCGTTAATTCACACAAAACCCCATTAAGAAATCTGTAATTTTAACGGAAAGGGCCATGGCAGTTGGACCAGAAAAAAGTGTGAAATGTTATCATTATATTGAAAAGGTACAGTAACTTGAATTGAAGCCGAATAGAAATGTGAATCAAACCAGTTTTAGATAATGTATGTTTGGTGTCTCCTTAATAAAAATGCATTTCTGAATTGGTCGATTTCTGAATGGAGTTCGGTGTTAACTGATGAAATGTATAAAAGTTCCAGCATTTAACAGCATCTAAAAAATCTGTAATTTTAACGAAACCAGTAGGCCTAGAGCTTGTTTTAAAAAATAACAGGAAGCAGTTAATTGGACCAGAACAGATTGTATAGTAGTAGATTTTAACATTGTATTTAAACTGTATATTGAAGCTGTTTAAAAAAACTGTCCGGCAGTGGCTCAGTCAGTAGGGGCTTGGACTGTGAGCCGTAGGGTCGCCGGTTCAGGTCCCCGACCAGACCTAAATATGGAGTGTGGACTTCTACTTGGAGAGGTCCCAGTTCACCTCCTGCCCTGCCGTGGTGCCCTTGAGCAAGGCACCGGACATCCCCCTTCCCCCCTCACTCCCCGGGCGCTGTACAATAGCTGCCCACTTCTCCTAGTACTAGACTCCTAGCACTAGGATGGGTTAAATGCAGAGGACACATTTCACTGTGTGTGCTGTGCGCTCTGCATGTGTGACCATTAAAGAGGGTTTCATCCCTCCCAATTCTAATTCTAAAATTCTACTATTTTTCTGTCTCCTGAATAACAAGGTGAAACTATATTTCTGTTTGGTTCGGTTTTAAATGATGGAGTTTAAAAAAGTGTGGATACACACAAAACTCTATGAGGACCAGAACACATTTTATTGCAATATGAACATTACATTAAGAAGTTAAAGTACATGAAACGGAAGCCGAATAAAAAAGTGGATCATTCCAATTTCAAATAATATGTTGCTGTGTTTTTATGTCTCATACATAGAAATGTATCTCAAAATTGACGAATTTCTTAGCGAAGTTTAGTACAAACTCTTATTGTGAAGAAACATGGCTCGTAATGACGCTAAAGCGACAAAAATTGAATTTTGCGTTTAGACTGAGAGGAATATTGAAACCAAATGGCTTTGGTAAACCTGGTTGAAATGCTGACATTACCTTTAATAATAACCGTGACGTTAAAGCAATTGTATGACTAAATGTTGCTGCTCGATTGGGTTAGCAAGTGATTTGTTTAGCAAATGTTAGCCAGGTTGCTAAACCGTGAGATGTATGCTCACTCAACGAAAACGTTAGATGTACATATTTTCCGCTTGGATACCTTAAAATACACAACATGTTTTATCTTTTTCGTCACACAATATGAAACATTACTTACCGTGTAAGTTTTTCTGTTTATTTGTTGTCGGTTTGCTAACACCACAGATTAGCTTCTTCTTCTTCGTTGGTGTTGTAAATGCGAACCAGTTTCACATACCGCCACCGGATGGCCGGAAGGGGAACTGCAAGTTTGACATACAACATGTTTGTTGCTGGTACTAAACCTGAGTATTACTATTTGTATGCAACGTTATACTCCTACTCCTTTTATTTAAATACATTCATCTGACAGTTTAATCTACTCTGCAGATTCAGATTAAAATGACAAAATATAGGCTAATATAGTGATATATAATTCCTCCAACTCAGCATAACAATAATGATTTGACCTTGGGAATGTAAACTTGTATTAAAATATAATTTCATAATGTGTATATTTTATCTAGATGATTCAATGATTTTTGTAAAGCACTTTGAATTACCTTTTTTAATGTGCTTTTTAAATAAATGCCTTGAAGCTCTTATATAAAAACATACATTTTTGCCATCACTGTGACATTTTGGTTAAGTATTATATTTAATCCTATAATTTGATATGCAGATAAAATAATTTGATTGATTTGATGAAGAAACTGCTGTACTGTTGTACCTTTATGTAATGAACCCTAATATCTCGATTGCAGCAGTTATACTTGTAAAGGAGTATTTTTATAATCTAGAAATGGTACAACACACATAATTCAATACATTTCACCTGCAGCCTTCCTGATGACCACAGATTAGTTTGTAGAATGAACTCAAGTCATTGTGAAGCTTTGTTTTGCATGTGTTGATGGTACTTTGGCCAGAAGTCATGTAAAAACTGTTATCATCACACCGCAGAAAAACATGCTGAGAATAAATGATTAATATCTGCTGTGGTGGTACGATGCCCTAAAACTAAATGCGGTGTGTTTATGAATTACAAGTTAATCATTATACACCTCAGCAAAACAAATCTTTCTAAGCACACATCAACTGGATGACTTTGGGTGTTTAAGAGAGACTGAGCTGTCTGGACATGTATACAAATATCCATAACATTAAAACCACTGTACTGATGTTAAATATCAAATGCCATTTAAGTCAATTTAATAAATAAAAAATGAGGCAAAAGATATACAAACATATCAATATAAATATATGAATAAATCAATTAAATACATATTTTTGGGTTTTTTATAGGACTGTTTTTTTTTTCCAGGGGACTTCAAATGCCAGAATTTTTTATTCTATCTTGTTATTTATTTATAACTATTTATTTTTGTATCGTTATGTTAATGCACTTGTTAGAGGGTGGTTGTACTTAACATGAAGATTTCCATTTTGACTATACTCATACCCTCCTACAACGCAAAGGAAATGGATTATGGCATTTAGTAAGTAGTAATTCATAAAAAAGTAATTCATAAAGAAACATTGAAATTCCTAAAATCTGCCTGAATAAGGCTGTTTGATGCATTGGCTTTTGTGAATAGTATCTGTGATATCGTGTACATGTTTTGATCCTGAAGAAGACACATTGCATTTTTTAAGAAGTCACAATAATACAAATATTTTTGAGCATTACAAAGCAGTGTGTGTTTAATGGGTAAAGTGAGTATTTCTTTTGTGGATATTTTTTTTCCGTCCACAATGCTTTACATAACCTTCTCTTTATTTGCATGTAGTCTGGTTCACAGAGGGCGTTAGGCTGATATGTTATCAGTGACCTGGTCTACAGACTGCAGTCTGCACTCAGTGTGTTTCAGGAGTTCCTGCACAGACCGAACTGAGCCATGCTGTAACAGCTCAGCTCATATTTCTGCAAATATTGACATACTGGAGGTGAGACGAGGACAAGGAGGAGGAGAGAAAAACACAGCCGGAGCTCAGAGGAAACATCCTGAAATCTGAAAAACAAAAGCTGCTGCAGTGTGGTCGTAAAACGCCTCCTCCTCCTCCTCCTCCTCCTCCTCCTCCTCCTCCTCCTCCTCCTCCTCCTCCTGTGTTTATGACTCAGAGAAATGTCTCGTCAGATGTTTTTTACAGGAGAAATTCAGAAACAGCTGCCGTGTGTTTACATGAAGTGGACTGTACGACAGTATGAGTCAATAATAAAGTCACGAGAGGATGATTTCATCTCAGTAAATACTTTCCTCGTGACTTTATTACAAAAACAGTCAGCTGTTAATGATTATCCACTTGGTTATAATATTTGGAGGACTAAAGATGCCAATAACAGAAATAAAAAAGTGAAAGTATAAAAATACACAATAAAAATAGATTAATCAAAAAATAGTCAATTAATTAAAAAGAATACAAAAAAATACAATTTTTTTTTAATAAAAAAATAAATATATACTAAATAAAATAAATGGTTGAATAAAATAAATAAATACAACAAAATTGATAAATAAAGAAAATAAAAAATATACAAATATACAAAGGAAAGGTCATATAATAGCAAATAATGAAATTATTAAATAAATGAGAAAAATCCATTAAAGTAAATGAATCCATTAATTCAGTCAACCTTTATTTATACTCCAGGGACAGATACAAAAACAGAACATTTGTCAGCTCTGCTCAGCACTACAGTCAGAGAGCTCTTACTGTAACATGTAAACATGTATTTCACTTCATGAAGTTATTCATAATATATAATTACAGAGTGATGGCATACGGATGAGTTTGAATGCAGAGCCTCTTATTATTTTTCCTAGTTTTCCTGTGTTTGTGTTTATAGCATCACGAGGAAACATTTTCTAAGTTACAAACAAACTCTGATTCTCCCCCCTAAACCTTTTAGGAGAGATGTTGTAAAATGTAACGTTAATTTACAGGAAATGAGCAAAGATGAGGGAGAAGTCAGGAAAATAGTGTACATTTGAGTTGGAAATGTATTGTAGGATCATATATCACATAATGTTTTCTATTTAGAGACGACTTGCAAACGTCTGCATTCAGTTCAGTTCACTTTTTTAGCATTTTAATTTTTAAATACAAATATTTTTTCTCTTTGGGAGTTTAGGTTAGTTGTCTTTCCACCTCTAAAACAAATACTGTTGAAATGAAATATTGTTTACTCATCAGTACAAAATCATAAAACATCCAGACAGTTTTATGTTTCTATACAGTATGTTCTAATGATGATCATTATCATTTTTAAAACAATTATATTGTACCGATTGGTTATTTTTAGTGTCTAATAAAAAGTCGTTTGCAATGAATCTTCTTCGGAGTGGGATTAGCTTGTTGCAAGTTTAAATATCTGCGTATTGTTCACTGTAGTATTTACACACTTTCAAGCTCAGTCCAAAGTTTGTTTTGGGTGGAAGTGTCACGAGGTCTTTGACATGGATTAGATGAGATAAAACACACACACACACACACACACACACACACACACACACACACACACACACACACACACACACACACACACACACACACACACACACACACACACACACACACACACTGAATGAGGGCAGGGCTGCAGTGTGAAGACTGCAGCTGCTGATAATATTGTTTTCATCTCAGATGAAGTCAAAAGTCAAATGTAGGACATTCAAAACAAGAGTTCATATACATGGATCACATTTTTTCTTCTTCTTTTAGAGCAGAACATTACATAATCAAGCACAATCATAACGTTCATTTTCACGTCGCATCGTTTGTACTTCATTTAATTTTCATATTTTGTGGGTGAATCTACATCATGTTGGAAAATTCTCTAGCTCATTTCAGTTCTTTTATCCTCAGTGTGTGTGAACTGAACAACAACAAAACATAACAGTTATTCCCCAGATGGTTCTTATTCCTGGAAAACACATTGTATAGATGTCTGATCTGGTTTTTTTCAAACTTTTTTAGGTCTACGTCCAATTTATGCAAAGGGTTTGTATAGTTTTTGCATTTGAGATCAAGGCATCAGTCTCTGTTGTAAAACAATCAAGAACATGCCATAAAATATGTTTAAATCATAAAAAAATGACCATGAGTGCAACAGTTGACTGTAATATGTGTTATAATAATGAAGCAGCTGGAGAATATGGATGCACAGACCTTCATCTAATAAACAGTGTTCTTCCTTACAAAGGAGGGAAATCATAAACTCCATGTTTTCCTGAGTCTGAGTTTCTAATCTGATGCAACATTTCTGCATCAGAAAGATGAAACCTGCGGGGGAGGAGCTGCATGAGTCCGGTATAAAACTCCCAGAGACAGCCTCTGCAGGAACAGCTGCTTTCTGCCACATCAAGTCTGAGTTTGGAAAGCTTTTACATTCTTGTTTTTCTACATTTTGACAAACTTTCTTTCTCTCCCAGAGAAACAAACATGAGTCACGTCGACGTGAACAACCTGAAGCCCTCCACCTTTGAGGAAGAGAACTACGACGAATATGAATATTACAATTTAAGCGATAAATACACAGGTGAGCTCTTTTCTTTTACGTCACGTTAACTTAACCTCACCTGAAACTTTTCCATATTTTCTTTTGTTAATATTAAACTTTACATGTGTTTTGTCTGCAGAAAGCTCAGCCCGTAAAGGCAGGACAAAGAAGGAGGCCAGTGACAACACCAACAGACACAGCCCTTCAGGACACGAGCGCAAAATCGTGGTGAAGCTCCAAAACACGGAGAAGAAAGCCAAGGAGTGAATACTGAAGTGAGTTTGTACCAAAACAGTGTTTATTTTTTGTTTAATCCTGTTAAAATGTACGCCGAATAAAGAAATGGCTGTCTTTATTGTTGTTAGTAAAGTTGCTGAGTCATTAAATGTGCTTTATACTTGAACAGAATCAGCAATTCTTCAGCACATCTGGCTTTTTGAACTGTAACCAAGTTCAACTCCTGCTTTAAGAAACCCTCACTTTAAGGAACAGTTCGTACTGAAGTGGGCGGTTGTTTATCGAGAACTTATTATTTTCTTTTCTTAAATAAGTGTTATTTTTTTGGTGAATTTCTTTATAATCCAACGCCGAATTAGAGGTTACCCATGTTATTTGTGACTGGTTGAGTCGACAGATAATTTAATGTACTTTCCATTTTCAAAACTTAAAATATCTAAAATCAACACATTTCTTAATGACGTTTGGCATTTGCGATTTGAGAATGTAGGTAGGAAGTTTTAAGTTTTGAGGAGTGATTCTTGATTATGAGAAAAACAACTAACTTCATCTTTCAGTTTCAGAATGTCCTCCTTAAACAGCCCTTCCTCCACCTTTCACAAGTGGAAACATATTAACTCTTTGTTTATGTTTATGTAACCCTACACCGGAACTGAGAGGGACTATTTTACATGTTACTGATACAGTTCAGGAGACATTTTTATATTTGATGTGAATTCAAAATGAAGGACCCAACCCACCAAGTTTTCTTTTACAACCTTTTTCTTTAAAGTCTGAGGGGGTGCTGCCCAGCCTTGATCTGTATTTTTAGGAAAACTCCTAAAAAATGTTAACTATTTGTTCACCATGCACCGATGTGAGAGTGACTGTTTTGCTTAGGAGTTGCCGACTCCTTTAATTTCTTAATGTCACTATATGGAACTTTTAAACAGTTTGGATTAATAGAAAGGTAAAACGGCATATGCTAGCAGTTTAAACAAATACATTGTAAACACAATAAGAGTGGTTTAGCTGCATGATAGCATAAGTGATACAATTATCTTCACTATCAGGAATATCATTTTGATATTGGAGTGCCTAATTATGGCCCTAGTGTCAACATAATAAAACATGTTGTTGCCATACCTCTCTTCTATATAAACAAACATAATAGTCACCAAGACCAATACAAAAGTGACTATAATAAAGTAAATTAACAACAATGAATGAATATTATAAACTAATTAAATAAATCAAAACAATATAAAAAAAAAAATGGATTTAAATATAAAAGAAAAGGTGCTGTTTTAATTTAAATTAGTTGAGATAAACTCCATATTTAAGTGGCTAAAACACCAAGGCCATAACTGCAGCAAGTTTGACTGACTCCATTACAGTACATTTATTTTATGAATTCTTTTGACTGACCCACAACCAGACTGACTGTTTTTTCTGCTCCAGGACACTCGGACGGCTCTTCCCGGACCCCGACCATGACGGCCCTGCGGCCACAGAGCGAGACGATGAGACGGCAGGAAGTGACCTGAAGGTTCACCTGAACGTGAAGAAGAAGAGCCTGCAGATGTTCCAGATGTTCAGACTGCAGCTGCTCTCCCTGCTGGGTGTTGTAGCGGCTGCCCCCGAGGTGGAGGGGCAGCCGCTCCATGTGCAGACCACGATGGTGCACATGTGATGGTGGGATTTTTTTAACAGTTTTTTACTATTAAAACTTTTCCTAAATGACTTGTCGTTTTTCCTCTTTCAAGTTGTGCAATAATGTCATGAAAATAAACACTAATTTCAATGTTTTTAATGCATTTTAAAATATCTAGAACATCTCCCTTCTGCCCCCCTGGAAGACTTGGCAAGAGTGAAAATAAAATATTTATTATTGCAAATATTATACAAATCAATTCTAAAAATAGTTTGCAACATAGCAAAAAAGTGTATACATAATTTAAATAAGATAAACATAAGTGAAGTAAAAAAAACTAATTTATATTATATTTTTATATTATAATTTTGATTCCTTTTCTTGTTTCTTTACATTTTTAAATGTAAGCATAAATATAGCAAAAAGAAAAGAAAATCGAATTATGGTATTATTTTATACAGACTTACATTTGTATTATTTCGATTCGTATTTTTGTTTCTCTCTATAACAGTAAAATACATTAACTTTTTTTCGTTGTTACATTTTATCTTATTTTAGAGAACATCTGGGTGCTAAATAAATAAATAAGAGCTATTTGTGGGTGTGTCCAGCTGCAGGGTGTGCAGCGAGCATCCAGCAGCAGGTGGCAGTGGCTGGTCACCTGCTCAGTGAATGGAGAGCCTGAACTCTGCAATGCGGGAACTTAAACTGCATTCACACATTCAGAGAGTGCTGTGTCAAGTTTTACCCTCACCACAGGAACTTTAAATCGGCTGTGTCAGCACTGCAGGTTATGCAACCATGAGGAGTTATATAACAAACTGAAAACGGAACTTCCAGCATATAATGAATATTGAGTTGTGGATTTTATTGTAATGCATAGCATGTTTGTAAACATAAGCTTCTACGTGTACATGCGAGATTGAAAGGCTTTATTATCTATCTATCTATCTGTCTATCTATCACAGCAATGACAATGTTAATGACTAACACTGAAGACATACAAATAAATAAAATAGTGTGACAAATGACATAATAGTGCAATCAAAATGCAGCACCTACGTTTTGTAAATGTGATAATTTGAATAATGCAATATTTATTTCTACCGGCCTCTTTATTAGCTACACCTTGCTAGTACAGAGTTGGACCCCTTTTGCCTTCAGAACAGCCTTAATTCTTTGTGGCATAGACTCAACAAGGTGCTGGAAACATTCCTCACAGATTTTGGTCCATATTGACATGATAGCATCACGCAGTTGCTACTGATTGGTTGGCTGAACATCCATGATGCAAATCTCTCGTTCCACCACATCCCAAAGGTGCTCTACAGGATTTAGATCTGGTGACTGTGGAGGCCATTAGAGTAAAGTGAACACATTGTCATGTTCAAGAAACCAGTTGGAGATGATTTGAGCTTTGTGACATGGTGTTATCCTGCTGGAAGTAGCCATCAGAAGAAGAGTACCATGTGGTTATAAAGGGATGGACATGGTCAGCAACAATACTCAGGTAGGCTGTGGCGTTTAAACGTTGCTCAATTGGTACCAAGGGGCCCAAAGTATGCCAAGAAAATATCCCCCACACCATTACACCACCACCACCAGCCTGAACCGTTGATACAAGGCAGGATGGATTCATGCTTTCATGGTGTTCACGTGAAATTCAGACCCTTCCGTCGGAATGTCGCAGCAGAATACGAGACCCATCAGACCAGGCAACATTTCTCCAATCTTCTATTGTGCAATCTTGGTAAGCCCAAGGTTCCACGTGTTGTGGTTCAGAGATGGTCTTCTGCATACATTGGTTGTAACAAGTGGTTATTTGAGTAACTGTTGCCTTTCTATCATCTTGGACCAGTCTGGCCATTCTCCTCTGACCTCTGGCATCAACAAGGCATTTTCTCCCAGAGAACTGACGCTCACTGGATATTTTCCCTTTTCTTAACCATTCTCTGTAAACCCTAGAGATGGTTGTGGGTAATAATCCCAGTAGATCAGCAGCTTCTGAAATACTGAGACCAGCCCGTCTGGCACCAACAACCATGCCACGTTCAAAGTCCCTTAAATCACCTTTATTCCACGTTCTGATGCTCTGTTTGAACTTCACCAGGTCGTCTTCACCATGTCTACATGCCTAAATGCATTGAGTTGCTGCGTTGTGATAGGCTGATTAGATATTTGTGTTAACGAGCAGTTGAACAGGTGTACCTAAAAAGTGGCCAGTGAGTGTAAGTTCTATATTCTTTATGTAAGACTCTATTAAAGGTGGGGTATGTAATTTTGGAGAAACCAGCTCGAGTGCGCTAGAATTTGAAAATACACAACCGGAAAAAATCTGCCTCATCCTTCAGTCTTCCTTACAGAGCCCCTCCTCCAACACACACGAACGCGCACATGACCAATGAGGGCACGAGATAAGTTTGTGCACAGATGGAAGGCTGACAGGCAGGTAGGCCAATGATTGGTCGTGCTTTTTACAGCGCTACGGCTTCCACAGATGACATTTTTTTAATGTATTTATTGACAAAGCCTTTAATATATTCATTGCTATCGGGATGTTAAGAGCATTCCATGGAATATAACAAAAAGTGTTTCTGAAATAAATTACATACCCCACCTTTAAATGTAATAATAATCATAACCTTCCCTGCTCAATGTCTTTGCTTTTCCTTCTGTGCCATAGAGCTCCATTGGTGCTGAAAACTATTTAAAGAAATGTTGGATTCAATCCCACACTGCCCATCCTGCTGACATAAATACTCACTGTGGAGCACCAAATGTGTATTAATCCGCCACAAAAAATAGCTTGAAAAACCAAATAACTTTTTTTATTAGCATATAATGGAGTTTTAGAAGATGTATCTCTTTTGTAGGGTTAGGGTTAGGCCTTGAGATTTGTTGACAATAAGACAAATATTAAATATTGCCAGCTTCATATTACCTTATCCCCTGCAGCCCTTTTGTTCTAAGGGTTATAACGACCGATAAAAGACACAAGTCCACTTGGCACCTGCTGCAAACCAAACTTCATTATTATTTATGTTCATTTAAAGGCCATTTTGAGTTGTGAAAACACTTTGAATTGTGGGTTAAAAGAAATAAAAACATGCCAATTCGGGGGACATATTTAGAGGTAAAACTTCTGTGACCCTTTTCTGAAGACATATCTGAGACTTACAAAAATGTGCAATAGCATGCATCCACACCCTGACAACCAATCAGCCTTCTGGTTGCAGCTAAACAGTAACTATATATATATATATTTTTAGATTTACACCTGACTTATTGTTTATGTCAGGGAGAGGGTAACGCTCCTGGCACCTTGGAGATATTCATCTTATAAAATAATATATGTGACATCAGGAAAAAAGCAAACCCTTTATGATACCAGATACTGTATGATAGAAACCAGAGAGAGAACAACCTTCAGGTTTATTAAACTGCAGCTCATTCACATTCAGACTTTCTGCAGAGGAGGCGCTACTGGGGAAAATAAACACATAAAAACTGGGCATTCTTGAAAAGGATTTTGTTGCAGGTTTTTATATCTGATAAAACCTTAACTCCATATTATTAAGTATATGTCTGTCTGATGGTTGGTCATACTATATATGCATCAAAATGTGTATAAATGACTAGAAGTTAGCACTTACATTATCCCAAATATTTTAGAGAAATGTGTCATTATATTCAAAGTAATGATGCATTTCATGCCATGGCATATAAAGTCCAAAATTACAGAGCTGGGGAAGGGGGAGATAATAGGAGAATCTTAATTTCCCAACATTTAAGTCATACATTTACATAAAAAAATCTAAACTCTCACGAGAAAACTCCCCAAATCTTCAAAACTTCCACCTTTAATCAACCTTACACAGAGGATATGCACGTTTGGCAGTGGTTTTAATACAACATTGAAAGAAAGAAACAAACTAAATTACAAAGCCACAGAAGGGCGGGTAGTACGCCGGGTTACCTATTGTAACGGCCCCTACACACGGCGGTGTGCGTTGACTCTTCAACACTTCTGTCCATTCACTTTGAATGGGGTGACGTCACGCTTCGCCGAACTGCATTGTGGGAGCAAAGCGTAGCTTTTCTCGCGGTGCTCTACTTTTGACGCTTCGACGGAGGCGTCAGCCAATCAAATCCCGCTTATGCAAATCTGCCAGTACAAGCGCTAGCCAATCAAACCGCTCCAAAAAATGGAGGAGAAAATAATCGTAGCGGTAGGGAATCACCCGGTGCTTTATGATCAGTCCCTGTTCACCTACCGGGATACAAACCGGAGGAGCCAGGCATGGAGGGAGGTGGCAGAGACAGTGGGTGAAACTGGTAGGTTTTCGCCTGTTTGGGGAGTTTATATCCAGTGTACTTCGTTTGAATGGACAGCTAGCAGGCATAGACAGTATTTAGCCAGCATGGAATGTTGCGTAAAATAGCACCATAGACATTAATGTCATAAATGTTTATCATATAAAGTGTGACATGTAAAACCTTTTATGCAATTGACAGCAGAGATTCATGTGATTGGTTGTTGGTCGCGTTGCTCGCGTAAACTCCCCAAGCTCAAGACACGCCCACTGCCAAGCGTCAACGCACGCCGCCGTGTGTAGGGGCCGTAACCCTTGTTATATTAACACAGGTGGAGCCCTCTACTGGACTCTATGGGTAGTACCTTATCCTGCGAGCATTCTCCTACTGAGACTTCTATAGACGTAGCCGGCCTAGGGGCGGGCCTACCTGAATGCGCGCACATCTCACCGTATAAAAGGAGGCCTCGCCTCCTGACTATCATCCTACACCTCTCTTCAGCGAGCGGAATAGGACAGACAGTGCCTCCTCCTCCTCTCGGCAGGAGGGGGGTAGCCCCTCCGCCCCGTAATGGGCAAGCGCGCACCTCGCCAATCCCGGGACCCCCCGCGAAGGCGCATTACGTCCGGGGAGGGGGTCAGATGCCTACTGATCCACAGCCCCCCCTCACCAGTCCTGTGTTGCCCCAGCAAGCACAGACGAGGAGAAAGAGCCAGACATGTCCAAGAGATAAAACCTTATGAAGGGGCCTGGCGTTGACCAAGACACCGCTGTG